TACCTTTAGGTATAGACCCCTGTCCACCCAGCGCTGCGCTGTTTGTTTTATTGTGGTTTTCCCTCATTGTTTATTTTTTTATAGAAATTGTTTTATAATAAATTGTTTTTATTTAACCCAAATCTGCCTTTGCATTTATAACACTCTGCGAGTCTGGTCCCTCTCCCCGCGCCTGCTCTTGCTTTTCCAAAGCCTGTCAATCACAGCTTTTTCTTCCCCATGTGAACACACTGTGTCTGCTGCAGTTTCCTGTGAGGGACATGAGAATAACAGCACTGCTTTGCCTCAGAGGGACACCATGAGCCCAAGTATGCAAAATACACGGGTCTCACATACTACAGTGAAAGGATCTATAAATGCTGAAGACAGATGAAAGCTTTTCATCATCTTAGCAAATGCTGCCCACACTTATTTCTGTCCTCACACCTTTCCATCTACTTTCATCCTCTTTTAAACCTGCTTTCCTTGCTAGCTCAGCTTCATTTAGCTTAAAGAACATAATGCTTTACATGTGTGGAAGTGCCCTCTATGACCCTGCAGAATCAAACACAAGTGAATATAAAATAATGTATTATATTTCCAATTTATATTTGGATAAACAAGTGATTTGTCATCACAACTTCTGGAAATGGTTCTCATGCTCCATGACATGAGTTCACTGCTGTCCACAGTAGTATTAGCCAGTCACAAGGAAACCTTAAAGAAAGCATATTACAAGGACTGCTTACTGCTTCCCCCCAGATTAGAGTTTAGGCGTGCTTTGGAGCAGTGGGATTGCCCTGCCTGGCCAATGCCAGAGGCAGGGACACAGCACTGCCTGAGACCCCACTAACCATTTGTCACAGCACAGTGACTGTTGTGTCTGTCTGCAGGACTTAACAGGGGTCTGTAAGAAAGGTGAGCACAGGCTTTTCAGTAGGGCCTGTAGCGACAGTAAAAGGGGGGATGGTTTTAAACTGAAAGAGGGGAGATTTAGACAAGGTATTGGGAAAAAGTTTATACACTGAGGGTGCTGAGGCCCTGGCACAGGTTGCCCAGAGAGGCTGTGGCTGCGCCATCCCTGGAACTGTTCAAGAGCAGGGGCTTGGAGCAATCTGATCTAATGGAAGGGGTCCCTCCCCACAGCGTGGGGTGGGACTGAATGGGCTTTAAGGTCCCTTCCAACCCAAACCACCCTGGGATTTTATCTTGCCTAAAACCACTGCTCAGTAGTTTTAAGGCAAATACAAAACACCCTCTTAAGACCCTATTTAAAATACAGCTGCAAATGTCTCTAAGTCCTCTGTGTATTTTATGTTTTATTATCATGTTTTGTACTTTCCTTGTGGTCCTTTGTGGTTTCCTTTAGATTGTATACCTTCTAGGTAAGGGATTTGTTATCTCTTTGGCAAGACCCAGCTGTACCAAGTTGTGTACATATACAACACCATATAAAAGATTACGGCTTTATTGGCCACTGAAGCATTGCTAGTTAATAATCTTTAATGTGGCACTTATTTATCCAGTCATAAACAGAACACTGCTGCCAAGCCAAGTCAAATAAACACTATAGAAATCCTTCATCTTTAAAATGAAGCAATTTCTGTCCTGGCCATTGTAGGCTTTGCAAAAAAAAAAAAAAAACAGACACATTGTTACTGAGCACAAAAGTACTCAGATTTTAAAGCTTTCCTAAAGCAACAATTGTTACTAGTATATGCACTGAGCTTTTCCCAGGCCCTAGGGCAGAAGCACAACCCGAGTTCTCCTCACGCAGGACTGCTGTCTTTGGGATGATGACCAAGGAGCCTAGCAAGGGTTAATGCTTAATATCTATAGTCTATGCTGTGTACCCTCTGTGGATGGCAAGCTGCATAGCTGACATCAGGAAAGGCCCTGAAGGAACAGGTCCTGTGGAGATGTGATGATCCTGCTCTGGCTCTGAAGAATGAAGCAAATGAGAACAAAGTTGTATGACCAGGACGTAGAAGGATGCCATAACAAAACAAAACAAAAAAACCCCAAAAAACCACAGACAACTTTTTCCTGATTAAAAGTGATTTAGATATTAAAATGAACAACCCTGCAAATGCTAATTGCCTTAATTAAGTACATTAGTCCCACATACATTACTGTACTATGCGGATCTCTGCTTAGATCATGGTCTATGTGAAGAAGGAGCAGGACGATAAGATCGGGCTGTATATAAGGAGGGTACAAATTTCACCTAGTTAGGAGGAATACCCAAAAGGACCTTGCACAGCTGATGGGCTACTACTCTCCTCTCCTTCCTCCCATGCATTCATTGTAAGCCTCATAAGATGATGATGATGATTATTACCTGGGATAACACTATATTATCGATACTGTTAGAACACTATCACAGCTAGTACATCCATCTAGGGCAATTCCAAATCTGTATTTCATAGAATCCTGGAATCTCAGAACGGTTCTGGGTTGGAAGGGATTTTAGAGCTCGTTCAGTTCCACCCCCTGCCATGGCCAGGGACACCTTCCACTAATCCAGCTTACTCCAAGCTCCATCCAACCTGGTCTTGGACACTTCCAGGCATGGGGCAGCCACAGCTTCTCTGGGAAATCTGTGCCAGGGCCTCCCCATCCTCTGAGTAAAGAATTTATTCTAAAAATGTATTCAAAACATATTACCTTACAGTTACCCTCCCTTTCCATTCCCCCTTGCATTTCTGCTGCTTCAATAAACCACACTATTCATGAATCTGTGATGGTGAAAGTTCTATTTAACATTACCAGACTCAGTGTTGAACATGCCCTTCCTGTTTGAGAACCTGTGCTCATGGACGTTCCTATTGAACACAACCACTTATAATGCCAAACTGGTTCTAATCAGAGATTAAACCCAGCTACCCTCACCCTCTCTGATCTCTTATGACCAGCTGGCTCACGAGGGGTTTCTTTTCCACCAAATTTCTATCCTCTTATCATAACACTGCCCCAGCCACCCTGTCTGCCCCACACTGGCCCTCACTGTCACCCTCACAGTCCCTATCACCCCTCTCAGTCTTCATCACCTCTCACACTCCCTCAACTTGGACCTGCACCTCCCTCATTGTCACCCCTCACAGCCTCCTGTTCCTCCAAAGCTCCCAACAGCCCTCATAGCCACCTTCACCACCCCTCCATCAGCTCTCACAGCCCCTCACAACCCCTCCATGGCCCCTTACAGCCCCTGCCACCCCTCACAATCCGCGGCCCCCACCACAGCCCCGCTCGGTCCCAGGGCTGGGGACGCTCCGCGCGTGCCCGCCCGGCCCAGCGGGACCGCGTGCGCGCGCCCGTCCCACCGCTGCCGCGCCGTCTGCGCAGGCGCGGGCCCGCTCGCGCCCCCGGTCCCGCCGGACGCCGCCCGGAGCGTCGGAGAGCGGTGAGGGGCGATGAGGGCGAGCGCGGCTCTGGGAGCCGGCCGAGGGGGGTGGAATTCGGTGTCGGGAGGTGGAATCGCGGCGGCACCCTCCGGCGAGCGGCCGGGAGGGACACGGAGGGGGCCGGCTCCGAGACCGGCCTTCATCGGGCCACCGTGGCCGGGTCGCGGGTTGCTGGCCGTGCTCGTGTGAGACCGGGCAGCAGCTGCGGGGGAGGCTCGGGCACGGCCCCAGCCGCTGTGTCTGGCCGTGGGCTCCAGAACCCAGGGCTGAACCTTCGGGGGTGTCGGTGACCGGAGAGCGGGCGCTAGTCCCTGCGGCGAGCTGGCCATGGGGGCTCTGGGCTGCGCCTGGGAGCTGGTTCGGTTTGTGGAGAGGCTGAAAGGTGTTTAAATGGCATATGCGAGCCTCAGGTGTCAGTCAGTGCCTCAGGATCCTCTGACCGCTGGTGACGCCCACCCCAACACGCAGTTTACATCTATTCTGCCAATCCACCCCCGCAGCGGGGCAGTGGATCCTCACAGGGAGAGCTCTCTAAACCCAGCACTAATGCTCTGTAGCCTCTGCCTTCAATGTTTTTAAGATTTCTATAATGAAAGTAGAATTTTATTGTTTGTTTTCATGTTAGTCTTTCCAGCCCATCCTTCAGTGAAAATTGTTGCTGGAATATTGGGGCTGGCACGCTGTTAGCCACCAAACAGCAAATTTAGAGTGCTGGCTAGAACCTGCCAAAATGCTCCCCAGCCTCCAGGCCTGTGAACAAACGAGCAGTAGCTGGGTGGATGCAGCATGCTCAGCTGATTCTGGTCCCAGGGCAGCAGCAGGGATGACATCTCTCAGGTGCTGTGTAATTGTGATGGGAGAAAAGCGTGACCTTCTCCTTTGAACTGTATCATCTGAATCCTTGTGTTTTTATGTCCAATTCCTTCAAGAAGCTGGAGCATCTGAAAGCTTTTCTGACTTAGAGGAAATCCCAGATGGATTTTCAGAGCATCAAGGAGTACCCAGAGCACAGAAATAACATGGACCATATCTAGGGCACTGTATTACCAGAACAGGGAATTCCCTGTTGGAATTTCCTTCTTTCTCTAATCACTATCTGTTAGACTATTGCAAAATACTTCTCCAAGATAGTTACTCAGAAACAGGAATGATAACTCGAGTCCAAGGATTCCAGCAACATTTTATGGTAACTCTTTGTTCCTTCCAAGCAATACATGATACTTATATCCTTTGTAATTTTCAAAACAGCTGTGGATAGTATTGCACAATAATTAGCTGTTGGGAATCCTTGTACTGAATGTCTTTTCTGTCATTAATATTTGAAAGTTTGTAGGTGTTCCTGCTGCCAGAAATTTTAACTCAAAGGAAAACAGCTTTCTCCCTGGTTTTTGGTGTTTTGGGGGGGGGTGTTGTGTTTGTTTATTTTGTTTTGTTTATTTTGTTTTGATTTTGTTTTGTTTATTTTGATTTTGTTTGTTTATTTTGATTTTGTTTGTTTTTGATTTTGTTTGTTTATTTATTTTGTTTTTGTTTGGGGGTTTTTGTTCTTGTTTTGTTTGTTGGTTTTTTTTTTCGGGGGGTTTGTTGGGTTTTTGTTTTGTTCTTTGTTTCTGGAGGGTTGATTTCTTTGTTTGGGGTTTTTTGAGTTTTTTGCTGTTATTTATTAAGTGCTACCAAGTAAATGTTTCTAGCAGGCTGTTTGTAGACTGTCACTTATTTAAGTACCTCTGCTCTTCCCACTTCCTTTTGCTCCTTTTATTGTGACCTTTGTTTTTTCTCCTTGGTTGTATTTGCTTATTTGTTCTATTAATCTGAAATCTTTAAGGGCCTCCATCCTCTGATGCCCCTGTTATTTGGACTGTAGAGAAAAATCAGAAAAGAAGCTATCCCTGTACTAAAATAACTGTCTGTCTATTTAAGGTAAGCAAAGCAAACCAGTCCACACTGCATGGGTGTCTCACCATCTCCAATACCAAGGTTATTGCAATCTGATAATGGATTGTTTAGGCATTATTATTGTATTGTATGCATTGTCTGGCATTTGTTTAGGTCATAAGTGCCTTTGCTTTAGTGCTGAAGCCACATACAGTCAGTGACAAGCATGTTATTGGTAACATGCCATAAGTTAGGTCCTTGCTGTTCTTCTGGCTCTGGAGAATTCTCCCTGCCCTCCCTGTTAGTTTGGAGAGACAGCTGGAACTGCTGCTGTTGGGCCGTGTCACTGCATGTTCAGACACAGATAAGTGTGTTACCACTCAAAATTGATAAACCATGTTAATGGTTGGAAAGAAAAATAGCTCCTTTTATTCTCTGTCTGTGCAGCCTTGAATTGGGACTAAAGAATTACAATTTCTCTCATTCATTTGGGGATGCCTTTATTTTCAGGTTTATTTGCAATAGTCTGACACAATTGCATGGGATGTGTTGGCAGGTGCAGTGGGTTTTGTTACAGAATTGGTGTCTTTGAGCTATGTCCTACTTTAGTACTTGAACAGACCTGATACAAAAATAGACCTTGTTGCACTATAGTAAATGATTGACTGGCTTGGAGTCCACATGTGTTGGTGGGAATATGTGCTGGTGATGTCCAGTTCTGGACTCAAATGTTTTAAAATCTCTGACATTAATATATGGAAGTTCTCATATCTGTAGTGTTCACACTCTTAGGTTTTAACATAACTCATTTGTTCTTGTCCTGCTTAAACTTCTGCAGTTAGAGAACAATTGTCTGAACTTTCAGACATGTTACAAAAGACCGTGAGCTGTTGATTCCCACTGTCTTGGGAAAGAGACTCAGGAGAAATCTAGGAGACTGCCAACGTCTGTGTTAAGGAGCGTGCTGAATGATGCTTGGGGTGTAGGCAGCTACATCAGCACAGAACCATGGAGTGGTTTGAGTTGGAAGGGCCCTTAAGGCTTATCTCATTCTACCCCCTGCCTTGGGCAGGGACAGCTTTCACTATCTCAGCTTGCTCCAAGCTCTGTACAGCCTGGCCTTGGACTCTTCCAGGGATCCAGGAAGGGGCAGACACAGTTTCTCTGGGTAACCTGTGCCAGGGCCTCACCACCCTCATAGAAAATACTTTCTTCCCAATATCTAATCTAAACTCGCTCTCTGTCAGTGTAGAACCTTTCTCCCTCTCCTGACTATGTTGTCAAATAAGTGTAACTTTGGTGTAGCTGCCAAAATCCAACACTTCATTATTTTGTTATGTTTTTATGGGGAAAACAACTTAAAGGAGAAATAACTTGTACACAAGTACAAGTGTAGTGACTATGTTTCAGAAAACTTGTAGTGTGTTATTGCCAAATCTGCTACACTATCAACCTTTTGAAAAGAAAAATAATGTTCGTATTAGTTTGAATTTTTCTACCTAATAGGACAAAGACCAAATACCAACTCTCAGGAAATCAACTGTTCTAATAAATGTTCTTCTCTTTGGTGAGGATATTTGTCACCTTGTTTTCTATAGCACAGTTTCAGGTATGAAGGTTGGAAGCTGTGCATGCAGGTACCTTTTTGTTTTTTTAAAGGTGTGGAGGTCAGTGGTGTGTCTGATGCATATCAGTGTTGCCCAGTGCACAGTTTAAAAAACAGTCTAATTGTTAAAGATCATTTTCCCCTCACAAACAGGCCCAACAGAAGGGAGTAAGTTATAAGAAGGTGTATACAATGACAAGTTCTAAGGTGTTAATGAAAGCACTTCAGTCTGAATGGTACAGGAGTTCTGGGGTTCTTTTTTTTTAATATTTTTGTTTTGTAGTATCTTCATTCTATAAAGAAAATGTTTGTTTTCTAATATGGGCCTGTGTGGAAACAGGATTCCTGCTCCTGGTTTACATTTCAAAATGCCTGTATCCTCCAGGTGAGAGACTTGGAATCCAGCGCAGTGCCACTGGGGAGAGGAGTAGGAGTGTCAGGTGTGTTAAATCCCTTCAAGTTTGCTCAGAACAAGCACATGGGTACAGAGCACCCTCAATAGTAAATCTTGTGCCCTCAATCCTGAACTCTATGACAGGGCCAGTCTTCAAAAATTCTCTCCCCAGTAAGATTAGAAGATTAGCAATATACACTAATAGTAAGATTATAAACTTGGCAACCAATCTGTTGTTATAAGTGCCCTTTGATTTTTGAAATCACAATCAAAATAATGCAGGACTAGTTTGGGATTCCACACTCACCAGTTTTTCATTACAAGGTGCTGTTTCTTTACCTTTGCTGCTGCACAGGAGTGTTTGTTGCTACTCTTTTAATAGAGCATAAGTTTAGAAAGATGACAGAAATAAGTACCAAAATAAATCAATGTGTTGTTCCAGTTCTCCAAAATGGAGCTGTTGGCTGAACTTAGGTTCTCCTTTGCTTGTAAAGTAGTTGGTGTCTGAATATCTCCCCTGTGTAGGGTAACCTATACTTCATTTCAGGAAAGTATAATCCATTAAAGGGCATACCAGATTATTGAAGTTTTCTCCTGAGCAACATCAGAAGAAAGGAACAAAATCTGTAGAGTTTTGCAGAGCTGGAAGAAAATAAAATTCTGAGTAAAATGACAACTTTAATTTTTATATGCTCATCTTATTGTAAATTGACTTTTGCTTTCCAAGAGAAAATTGTTGTGCCCTTATACTTAGTGTAGACAATAATGAAATAGTCTGAGATAGTAAGATTTCCCTACCCTGTTTTTAGCTGCTGCCTGAAATTATGGGAGCACTGATCTCCCCTGGAATAAACAAGTTGTTGGGATAGCTGCAGGCAGGAATAAAATGTACATGTCCATTTGCTTAGTACAGAGACAAAGAGTGTGTGCAGTGATTTCCATGGGCTCAGCAAAGATTAAGAATTTGTGTGCTCCATTACACCAGGGTAACTGCTGTGTCCACCCATTTCCCAGTTTACCCCTTAAGCTCTCCATCACTGCCCATTAAGGCTTTGTATGTTCATGTGTTGCACTGAGGGAGTCTTAAATCACTATAAACATCTCTTATCAGTTAATTTTACAGAAGAATTAAACTGGCATAAGTATCCACACTGACACTTGAATTGTTTTGATTAAATTGTCTTTTTATTTTGTTTTAAAGATGATGTGGGGAATTGGGACATTGTCTGGTTTCCTTGGCAGACTTTAAATGACATCATTCATATTTTGAACCTTTTGCAAGAGAGAATGTCCAGCAGTCATCTGTGTGGGTGTATTTTTGATAAATATGAATATTGTGGGGAAAATTATTCCGAGCATTAGTTTTTAAAAATGAGATATATATTTGTTATATTGTATATATACAATATATTATCATGGACTGGGAAAGGCTTCTTGGCAAACATTCTCCTAGGGATGCCCTTCCCTGGTATCTCAGATTGCGTCTTCTGCTTGTAAAAATCTACCTGTGTCTCCATTCATGCTGTCAGCTGCTGTTCTGGACCTGAAGAAACTCTAAATGTAAAAGAAATAACACATAGCTGAATGTACCTGTAAAGTACATTTTCCTGCACCTTCTGGCTTAGATAAGAGGAAAATTAATAAATCAGTGTTTGACAGAAACAAATGCAGACACTAAGAGGAGAACATATTATCAACAGATATTTAAATATGTTCTTCTGCCAGTGAATGTAGTGGAAAAGGGTCTCAAGGTGATAGATGTCAGACAGGATCCAGTGCAACAGAAAGGGAAAAGGGATTGGATTATTGTGTATGAATTTGATACCATGTCAAGTTTTTCACTCACAGGCAACACTGTCTTTGGTTCTACATAGTTGACAGTACTTTCAAACAGAGAAAGATACAAACTGAGGTGTTATGGGAAAGCTAAAATAATAAGACCAAAGGTTGTGTGTTCAGAGTCAGAGTTTGCTGTGGAAGAGAGACATGTTTGTAGTTATTTCCAATTTTGCAGCAAAGGAAAGATGAATAATTAGCACAACATGAAGGATTTTTTTCAGCCTTATAGTTTGGAAGGACCAGAAGGAAAACTCAGACAATGTAGTCAGAAAATTATATTGATATTTTGCACTACTTTGACAGATATATTTTTTTTAAAGGATCATTTTTAATGCATCATGTAAGATAGTTTTGCAGGTTAAGTGCAGTTTTCTTTTGGTCTGGATGGAAAAAAGGTAGGAATTACCCTCTCTTTATTTTTTTTTATTCCTTGAGTTTTTGTTTGTTCCTTGAGTTATGATGTAGGTAGGAGGGAAAGCTGCTGACCTATGGCTTTGATAACATTTACCTCCAGTATCCTCTTACAATGCTCTGCTCTTTAGCCTTTTTGAACCTTTGTCGAGCCATTAACCATTTTCCTTTCTTTCCCTCTTACATTTTTTTCAACAAAAATGTGTTGTGTTTTTCCCCAGATTTTTATCTTGTTTGGTTCTATGTGTTTACCTTGTGCCTTTTTGGTATCTTACTGCTCACAGTGTCCTCAGGGACTGGACATCAGAAGTGCTTGTCATCCCAACCCAAAAATAGGAAGGAGGAGATTCTTTATATTGAAGTACCTGCAGCTATGACATGTATTTAAATTAGATATTAGGAAGAAATTCTTTACTCAGAGGGTGGTGAGGCCCTGGCACAGGGTGCCCAGAGAGGCTGTGGCTGCCCCATGCCTGGAAGTGTCCCAGGCCAGGTTGGATGGGACTTGGAGCAACCTGGGATAGTGAAAGGTGTCCTTGCTCATGGTAGGGGGCCTGCCATGAGGTGATCTTTAAAGTCTCTTCTAACCAAAACGGTTCCATGATTCTATGGCATACGCATTTTCCTAAATATAAGCTACTATAACTTACCTGCCCAGCACTGAAGAACTGTGTGTGAATGTGTGTCTGAACTTTAGACTGTAATAAAGTGCGCAACAAATTAATTACAGATAGTTTAAAGACTGTTTAAGGTGATAGTATATTCCTAAGAAAGAAAACATGGGATTCTAGGACAAACTAGGTTACTCTGGTTCATATGCAGTGGTGATATCCCAAGGGAAATCATCTAAATGCCTAAAAGTATTTTCCCTGTAGAGTGCTCTGTTAGCAGGTCTTTATCCATTACTTGGAAAATTGAGAGGTTTTTAGACTTTGTCCTAAAAGCATATAAAAAACCCAGCAGGAAGCATCTAATAATCTGCTATCACACTATTGCTAAACTTGTAATAGAACATTGTCAGGATTTTATCGTGGCACCCAGCCTGTGCATAGAGAGTGCCCAGGGCACATCACAGAGATCGAACTACATTTAACCACGTTAAAGCAATCTATCGAGCTCTGTGTAGTCTGCTGGAAGGGATCATCACTGCACAGTGCAGCCACATACTCCCAAACACTCTCTGCATAAGATGAGCTGGTCGCTTTCCAATGCTAAATGGACTGTTTAATTCAAGTTCTGAAAAACATCTGCCCCAGGGAGGGGTGACAAAGGATGTCACCGAGGCTGTGACAAACTGTGCTTCTGATCAGGAGGTATTTGGGTGCAGGGGGAGCGGTGGTGTCCAGTCTTGTTCCCAGATCCATGTAGCAGAGATGTCAAGGTGTGTTGCTGTAAGTCCGGGCTTGGGAAAGCTGCAGGATGCACTGAAATACAGAGGAGAGGAAAGGAAAGGAGAGGAAAGCTGCCAGCCAGTTGTCTTTTGTTCTGCAGTTACTGGTGCCTTGCTGTGTTGCTTTGTGCTTCTGTCAGGCTTCCCTTTAGGAAGCAAACATCTCAGAGGTGTTTGAGTGTTCCTCAATTAATCTCCTCAGACTTTTGGGGTTAATTTCCTCTTACTGGGAAAAAGATTACTGGCAAGCAGTCTTGAGGAAGCAGTTCTCATTATCTCTTCATGTGCCTTCTGCATGGATTAGTTTAACAAGGTTATGAATAAGTGTAAATTTGAATATTTTCCATGCCTACAACACTGGTCAGAAATATAAGCACAAACAATATGCTGCAGGTCTGGAGGACTACATTACTCTTGATTTGCAGGGCAGCAAAACAGAATATTTGTTTTCTGTTAGAACCTTATAAAAATGCCTGCCAAAATGTTGATTGTCAGTGTCTAACTGACAATCTGTGCATAGCAAAGAGCTGAATCCAAGGTGGTGTAGCTGCCCATGCATGAGATGAAAAATGTAATTTTCAAACTTTGGTAGTTCCTCTTATAGAGTAGCTACACTAGATATAAATGAAGTATCTTAATAATATTTTAAACTGTAGGCACTTTCAAAACACAAAGTTGCAAGAATACCTAAATGGAATGGGGTACCAGGATCTCCTGATTAATTACAGCTTGGGTTTTTTAGGTCAGTCTCTTATGTTTATTAAAAGCAATATCAAATTATGTAATCTCAGGCTTTAACCAAAATTGGAATTCATTTTTAATAAGTTTAGACTCTGAATATTTCACTACTGTAAAGTATTTTGTGTCCTCTCAATTTGAAAGAAATAATGGCCCTCTGAGTTAGTTGTAGTTCAGATATTCAGTTTGCTAGTTCCTGCATTTTGGAAAGAAAAAACAAACAAACCCCTTTAATAAAAAAATAATTATTCAATAATAAAATTATTGAAGTTACCCTCAGACATATTATCTTTAGTAAAATTGTAACCTTATATTCCCCATACTGAAAGTAAGTAATAATTCAAATCTTTTTTTGCTGATGTGTTTTTAGATGCATTCATAGAATTTTTAGAATTTTTCTTCATAGGCAGTATGGGAGTTTGCCTGTTATGCTTGGCTTCACCGCTGTGTATTTTATACAGATTCAGACAGCTTTCAGCAGTCTTCTGAAAGCAGTCCAAAAGACAATGGGAAGAGGTAAGGGAATTAAATAGAAAATGTGGCTAGAATAGCAAGATAAATATTTCCTGGAAATTCAGTCACTCAGTTAAAATCATGTGTGTTACTATAGTCTTTGCTCAGATTTGAATTGTAATTATTGCTTGCCTGCTTCAGAGTTTAAATTTAACCTTGAAAAAGCTTTTGCCTGTGCTGCAACCATTGTTGGCAGATACTCAGTATGCATTTTTCTATTTCTACTTCTCATTTGTGTACTTGCTTTTTTTTTTTTTTTAATAGTGCACTTATCTGAAGAGCTTTGTTGAAAACTAATAAATCTAACAATCTACAATTGTGGGACAGGTACTAAAAAGGAAATTTTTTCTCCTGGTTCTGTTCTTCTGTGTTAGTTCCTACTTTTTTTAAAAGTCAGTCTGATTAGAAAGGATAACGACTGCTTACCCTTAGTACACAACTTTAAAGCTTTGTAGGTGCTCAGAGAAGCTGTGGCTGCCCCATTCCTGGAAGTGTCCAAGGCCAGGTTGCACAGGGCTTGGAGCAAGCTGGGATAGTGAAAGGTGTCCCTGGCCATGGCAGGGAAGGGAATGAGATGGGCTTTAAAGTCCCTTCCAACCCAAAATGTTCTGTGATTCTATGGTTGTTATGAATAATGTTTTTTTTTGTTTGTTTTTTTTTTTGTTCTAGTTTTTACAATGCCCTTATCATTCTATTCATTTCAGTTCTGTGCTGTTCAGGTGCTCATTCATCCTGTTGTCCCCATCTCCACTTAGAGCATATTTACCATAACATGATGTGGACTTCTCTAAAGCAGGAGGGAAAGAGTTTTGCTGCACTAAGGGTCTGTAAATGAGTCTCTCTGCCTGCCTATGGCCGTATCTATATGTAAACATTTCATACTGAAATGATTTTTCTCTTCTGCCACTCTTACCCCTCCTTTATCTGGAGGGGTAAGCAAGGTAGTTTAAGTGGATATGGGACTTTGTGACACAACTGCACTCTCACACAGCCATCCTCTAGCTCCTAACTGCATCCTAACAGCATCCTTTTGCTCCCTAACTGAAACTCCAGCCTCCCTCCAAATACAGCTCTGTACTGCCTGCTTGCTTCCTTGTGGCGGGAGGGATGGGCAGGAGACAGCCAGGACTCACTGGCTTTTGACTGCTGAGGGTGAAACATCTTCTGTCTCCTCTCCCCAGCAGCCCAGAGTTAAACTTTGTTCTTTACACCATTACCAGAAGAGAGAGAACTTGCCTCACAGGAGATGGGGAGGACAATTCAGAAAGAGTTAAGGAGAAGTTGAAGGTTGGCTGGAATTTTCCTGAGATTTCTTGGGCTCTTCTCATTTGGCAAGTAAATCCTCCCTGTTTGAGGCCTGCTGGCTTACAGTAGCTACTGGCAATATATCAGGAGCTGTGCACCATTACACTGAAGCACACAAGTTCTGTTGATTTTACAAGCACAGTTAAGAGCTGGTCACGTTCTGGCAGCCCTGATGAGCCCAATTGCTTTGCTGTTACTTTTTATTGCAGTATCTAGACCTGTGAAAAGCATAAGCAGACAGACCTACTTGCAGACCCCACAGATTTATCCCAGCCAAAATATGTATAAAACTCTGAGCTCAAATTAAAACTTCTGGCAGCCTGACTCCCATCCTCTAGCCATGGATTTCAGTGAGTTTCAAGAGCACATATGCATCAAATTCATTACTTTCTGGAATGGGCAGCTACAGTGAAAAATGTCTGTTTGATGCAGCCTCTACGTATGCCTGTGTATCTTAGAAAAGAAGACAGGAGAAAAAAGTTTACGGAAAAAAAAAGACAGCCAAGATGAATCTTTGAAATTGTCTTATATGATGAACATTTTACTTAACCCTCCTTAATCTAAATCTCCGCAGCTCCCAGGGGATGATGGCAGAGAGTGGAAGCATGCTGGAGACTCCAGCAAGCACAGGCAGTGATAGTTTCTATGCTGAAGTGTCCAGGAGCAGAATGGTTCATCTCCCCATGCTTTTACCACTGCAAAGTAGGATTAAAATTGTCTTCTACAAAAGAAGAATATTATAAATATGTGTGTATATATATATATATAAAATAAATATATATATATAATAAATATATTTTTAAAAATAATAATAAATCCTTATTCTACGATTTGAATTAAAAATGAGTGTTTCTGTGATTCCCAGGTGGAGAATTACAGAAAAATGTTCACTTCCCTGGAGCTGATGTTGGACCTGCAATGGACTGGTGTCTCTCTGTTACTGGATGTCCAGGAAACACATGCTGAGCTTACATTGAGAGACCACAGCTGAGCCCATCTCAGAGATCTCCCTTTCAGAACTGGAGTCAGGACAATGTGTTGCCTCCTTTAATTACAGTCTGAAAATTAGTTTCAGATGTGGAAGAATGCAACAAAATGAAATGGTGAGCATTTCTGTATCACTCTTACACTGTAAGAAGGATGATCAAAAACCAGTATTCTTTTTAGAAAAAAGCCCTGAATTAAGTATGGTAGAGAAGAGCCATCTAAAACCTGTCTCTGAAAGGCTCCTACACACTGCTGCCAAACTTTTAAAAGAGGGCTTCAATTTGGGACTTCCAACATGTGATTCCAAAATACCCAGGTTAGCATTTACTCAGAATCTAAAACTGTCTGGATTGGCTGTTATGGCTGCTTCAGGCAAAAGGTTAGATTTATTTCTTATGTTGCATCTAGGAGGATGAGATCTCACCTTGATTGTATATCTACCTTAAGTTTCAAATAATTTTAAAGCACCTGATTTATGGAAGACCATGCCAATAAATGTCAAGTACCATGCATTTTTCAGTCTGTCAGTACAGGAATGACTGAGGGTTTTTTAGAAGCCTTTCAGTGAATATTTTCATTGATTTAACCTTGCTATATAATGTCTTAATTGCACAAAACAGTTTTATGGGCCTGATGGATTTTATAGGGACTGTCTGCTTTTGCAGAGTATGCAGCATTCGCAGCCGTGTTTGCAGCTCCAGCTGGACACTGATGACACATGGGTTCCAGCACTCAGCAGAGCTGCTGCTATAGTTGAGGTTATTGTGCATCCCCTTCTGGCTTTTCACTGATTGATTAAAGCCAGTTTAGATATGGCCTTTAGTGGTCACAGCTACACTCTGCTGGGATACAGGTGTGTTCTGAACCTGGAGCCACCTGGTAGATCAGGTAAACCTGGCATGAGGCACTGGAGGCCAGAACCTGATGTTTCAGTTCCTAGTGCTGTCACAAAGGTATCTGTGGCATGTCCAATGGGAGAGCTGTTGTGTGCCTGTATGACAGGGCCAGCATCCAGAGCAGCACTTAGAAAATGTAATTGTTTTAATGAAGGTGTTTGAAGCTGACTTGACCCTGTGCTGCAGTCAGGAGGCAGGGTTCTTGTCCTGCACATGTCTCTCTTCTGGCACAATCAATGATCTGGCTGACTGTACAGCTACACAAAGTCATTGAGGATGGAAAAGACCTCCAAGATTGAGTCCGACCTTGGACCAATCACCACCTTGTCAACTAGACCAGAGCACTAAATGTCAAATCCAGATAGTTCTTGAACACTTCCAGGGATATTTCTGGAATGCTGTTCAGGGACAGTGACTCCACCACCTTCCTGGGCAGCTTGTTCCAATGTCTGACTACTCTTTCCATGAAGAAACCTTACCCAGTGGAAAAGAAAAATTGTACCAGATTAACAAGCTAATCCCAGTGACTATGTGGTCACACAGGTGCTAGTACCAGCACAAAGAAATGACTCAGAGGACATGACTGTGGTTAGTAGGAGCACAGTATCTCTTCTCACTGGCCACACAGTCTCAGAACTGTCTCAGTCTCACATTACTTGTGAGACTTCATCCTTCTAGTGTAAGTTTCACTTATACTTCCCCAGATAATTGGAAAGAGAGATTGCAAATTGAACATACTTTGCAATATATTTTTTTGCATTGGGATTCTTCTGTTCTCTTAAGTGGGGTGTTAATGTAAAGGTCCTTGCCTCAGCTTGGACTTCCAGTTAGGGAAATTAATTTCCTTGGGAGATGTCCTCAGTATCAGCCTCTTGGCTGGCCTTTGATCAATTACTACAGTTTGATCAATTACTGACAGAATGGAAGAAGAGTTTGGCTTAAAAATAACAAGGCATCTTTAACTTTTTTTGCTTTATAAAACAGTTTTGCCATTGTGGGAACATGTACATACGTGTGTTCTGAAAGAAAATAAGAGATTATCTGTTACTCAAATGTCTGGAATTTTACTTTCCTTCTGCAGAAAAATCCAAGAGTCCATCAATGACTAAGGTCTCTGTTCTCATGATTTATGTGATTTGCTTCTCCTGGAGCCATGGATGAATACAGCCGCTTTGTGGACTGGGACAAAATGGATGTGAGTGCCCAGAGCCAGGATACAAAAGAGCTCACCTGCACAGACTTCCATGAGCTCAAGCAGCTGGCCCGGCAGGGCTATTGGGCCAAAAACCACTGTCTGAGAGCCAAAGTGTACCACAAACTCATCAGCAATATTCCGTGCCGTACAGTGACCCCAGATGCAAACGTGTACCGGGATATTGTGGTGAAGATCGTTGGAAAACGCAACAGCAGCTCCCTTCCACTGCCAGAGTTCGTGGACAACAGCCTGATCCCCTCGTACTGCCTGAACGCGGAGGGCATCGGGGCCATCAGGAAGATCATTCTGTGCATCGCCAATCAGTTCCCGGACATCTCGTTCTGCCCAGCTCTGCCTTCGGTGATTGCGCTGCTCCTGCACTACAGCAAGGACGAGGCCGAGTGCTTTGAGCAGGTCTGTCGCATCCTGGCTTGCAACGACCCGTCCAAGCGGCTCATTGATCAGACCTTTCTGGCCTTTGAGTCCTCCTGCATGACCTTTGGGGACCTGGTGAACAAGTACTGCCAGGCAGCCCACAAGCTGATGGTGGCAGTGTCTGAGGATGTGCTGGAGGTGTACTCGGACTGGCAGCGGTGGCTCTTCGGAGAGCTGCCCATGGCATACGTTGCACGGGTCTTTGACGTCTTCCTGGTGGAAGGGTACAAAGTTCTCTATCGTGTTGCACTGGCTCTTCTGAAATTCTTTCACAAAGTCAGAGCTGGGCAGCCCATGGAGTCTGACAGCATCCAGCAGGACATTCGAGCCTTCGTGAGGGACATTGCCAAGTCAGTGTCCCCAGAGAGGCTCCTGGAAAAAGCCTTTGCTATCCGCCTTTTCTCTCGGAAGGAGATCCAGCTCCTGCAGATGGCCAATGAGAAGGCTTTGCAGCAGAAGGGCATCACGGTCAAACAGAAAAGGTAGGGCTTAGCACAGGTAACCTGAGCAATCTCTCAAGTTTTCCCACTGTGGGGAGCAGTCAGACAGCCCTGGGTGACTGGTGGGGAAGCTCCACTGGTGCATTCTGGTGTCACCTGATGCATTTTCTCTGCAGAAAAACTCAGCAACTCCAAAATCAAGCATTGCTGGGATTGTAATGGGAAGTGTAACTGAAGTGTTATGATACAAGAGGAACAGAAGTTTCTTATAGCTTGCTCAGTTATGAATTTATACAAGTATATATTAATTACAGGTATTATATCTCAAAAGTATGTTTCATAAGCAGTTTTTGAGCTAAAAGACATTTTAGCAAAGTTGGAAAAAATACTGATAAATTACTTGGAAGAAACATACCGAGAGAAGTGTGAAAATTGATTCTTAAATATGATATTATTTGTATAAAATGTCAATTTGATGCTGCGCAGTACTGTGAATTCAACAATTTCTTTAGTGTAAGGCACTGTCACAGCAAGGAACATTTTGCTTGACTGAGGTGCTGTTTTAACAGAGCAAGGAAGAAATAAGTCTTGTTTGCAGGTTACTTGTAAATCAATTTGACTGCAAGCATCTTGGAAGTCAAGAGTATAGTACTCACAGGTAGGAGTTGACCTGTTTTGTGGCAGGTTCATGTACTACTAGAAAAAATAATTTTGAAATAACCATGGAAGAGAAAAGTGACTATACAGATCCAATAAACTGTTGCAGAATTACAAGCTCTTCTCAGAAATAAGGGGAGGAAGAACCAACTCTGAAACCAGTAAATGAAATCCTGCTCTGATGTGACAGCAAAAGTCATACTAATAAAAAACTTAGCTGAAAGGCCTCTCAATGGATATAGAAAAGGCAGCAGTATATTAACCTGAATAAAATTAGTGTCTTGCCAAGTGGAAATGTATGTGCAGGTAAGTGGTGCATGTTCTGTTTTTCCAGAGGCCTCTGACAGCAGAAAACTTCTCACAACTATTTTTGAACTCTGAAGTTTAAGTGTTGGACGGTTTTATGAACTGCCCTGCCCTCTGAAGAGAGGTGACTTCTAAAAGTCTCCTGTGTCAGTGAGTGTAATATCTAGACACTGATATTCTAGATGCACAGTCTCATTTTCTCTAAATCTCCACTGATGTAGTAGGATCTTCCAGCCAACTGCATTGCTGAGTTTGTTAGAGTAGTTGCAAACAGATATGATTCCATGGCATGGCAATACACAATCAGTATATTTCAGCCTAAAAGATCACGTAAATGTTAGCTTCATGTGTCTACATACATGTAAAGCTCCCCCTGGTCTCTTCCAAGGGATTTTTTAATTTTAATTTTTTAGACTCACAGCTTGGTTTACAATCAGTTTCAGCATCTTCCTGTCACTCTCAAATATTTCAAGGCCTTTAGCCACTGGATTGTCACACTGGGGACAGTTCAGACCATTGTATTTGAGACTTGTAACAAAATACTGACTCCTCCATTGTGTCTTCCTGTTAGAAAGTTCAGGAGAGTTGTAATATTCTTGAATATATTGCTTGAAACACAATTAGAGCTTTAAATAAAAATAAAATTTAAAAAATAATTTAAATAAACCAGAGAAAAAGAAAACATACATCAACCAACCACAGACACTCCAAAGGCTCCTTCTGCGTTAAATGTTGCAGAGAAATTCTCACTCACAACAGTGATCCTTTCCAGGCAAAATACAGTAATATACCCAAATAAAGCCAGTAGTTACAGCTATGCCAGGCAGAGTTGGTGAAATAAAATATTTTCATCCTCTCTTGGCTACCTTTGTAAACCCACTGAAACTTCTCAGTGTCCCCAGGCACGGTGCTGCTGGGAGCTTGACTTGGCTCAGTTTGGGTCCCAATGTGGGCAGATGGAAATGCAGAAGTGAGCTGTTCTCCAGGGCTCCAGGGGGGGCCTGTGAGTTCTCTTCACCAGCTGTGTTTGGCCTGTGCAAGGAGCAGATGATTTATTTTCCCATCACATGACAAAAAAAGGGAAAGATAGAAATATAAATGTTTTAACCTGTCTGATTGTTTTTTAGTACTTGGTGACTCAAACCTTGCTTTGTTTCTCTCCAGGCTCCTTTCACTCAATTTGTCATGGATGTAGGAAGTCACTGATCTTTTCTATCTTTTTTGTCTTTCTCCTTGTATGTTCTCCTTCTGTCCATTCCATCTCCACTGCACCACTCCTGTTTGCAGTCTTGCACCTCCCAAAAGGTAGGTTAAAACACTTGAGTCTTTGCACTTTGCTCATTCCTGCTGTCTTTGGCTTGTTGTTTTTTCAAAGGCCATCACATATTGCTAATATTGGGGCAGGAGAAGCAGAGCAGCAATCAGAGCACCTGATTGCTATGCCACATCTCCTGAATACCCTCCTGCAAAGTTAGTTCATAGCACACACAAAGCTGTGAGAGAAGGGGTAGTGAGCCCAAGGAGTCAGCACACCACTTCAGGCAGCAATACACCTGTGTTTTCCAGAGGGGGAAAGAGTACTGTACATGGAGAAAGTACATGGTGGATTATGGTTCTGGCTATAAAGGGCCATTATAATAATGGTCTTTTCTACTCTGGAAGAAAAAGTATAATTTTTTAAAAACATCTCAAATTTAACAGCTTAAATGAGCTGTTAGGTATCATCCCACCTCTAAACCTGGTATATGCTGTTGCATTAGATGTGGAACAGTCAACTCTTTATCTTCTTTGGAAGCTTTCTGCAGTTAATTGGGAAAATTTTGGACTGACCCCAACTTGGCACACTCCTTAAAGTGGCCTGTCTCTGTTTATAGTAGATTATATTTATTTTTAAGTAGGTAGGGTTTTTTTAGTTGAGAAGACAAGACTCTTTTTCTGTGTCAAGGAGGTTGGAGTTACTCAGCCATAGAGCATTAACAGTTAATGAAGTCATTTATTAAGTCTTGGCCCGAAAAGTAAATTGTAAAGAACAAAATCTAGTGAGTGGATTGTGATACCTGATAAGCAGAGAACTTGGAAAGAGAAAGGCTGCCCTGTGAGTATTAAATACCACAGATGTTTGGGTTTATATTCATGCCTTTGAGAATCCTCTGGCCTTGCTGCTGGTGCCCTGAGTTAACTTTAGTGAGTGATGCACAGCAACACTTGTACTAATTTATAAAATCAAAGGTAGAATTAACTTCCTCATGTTTTCATGTTTGAAAAAACATCTTAAGAGACTTAGCAAAATATGTTTCATACCATAACTTCTGTGTTGAGGATTTTACCTCTAACAAATCAGCAAGCTCTTAATCCCAGTCAAGTGAATCTTCAGCATTTGTGTACTATTTTTGCAGTTGGGTTGTTCTGAAAGCAGCAGGAAGCCTTGATTTATGCTTGGAAGCGGTTTGGCTTGATGGTGCTTAGGGAGAGCAGGGCATCTGCTTACACTGATCTGGACACAAGATTAGGTTTCAGGTTTATATACCACAAATTACTTATATTGCTATTTATGACTGAAAAAGAAATATCTTTTTACCACACAGTTATAGCCTCACTGAAATTATAATGGATTTTAAAGATAATGCATCTCCTCTGAGATTTGACCCAAGCCAGAGTAGAACAGAAAGATGTAATTCAGTGAGTAATCTTCAGAGCTGGGTATTAGTTGTTTTTTTTTAATAATAAAGGGCACATCCATTTAGGTGCTACTGCATGTCTTCAGCCTTGGCTTTACCTTAGGGAACTTGGAGGTCTCTGAAGCACATCGTATTAATTATACAGCTGGAAAAGCAACGTTCCTTTGAAATTAACAAATGCTGCTTTATTAAACATTAATTGTGCTGGTTTTCAAATCTAATTCCTCGGAATAACAGCAGTTGAACAAGTCTTTCCAACATCAGCAATCAAGAGAAAGTTGTCATGTGGATCTCTGTAACTGAGGAAAACTCTAATGCAGGGTAAAACCTTCTGAATTTGTTCAGTTCTAGTGGTAGATTTTAATGCTGTCCAGCTTTTCTCTCAAGCTACAGTGTTTTCACAGATGAGCCTGAAAGGAGTGGAGTGTTGAAGGCTAAACTTAATTTTCCTCAATTAATATAAACCAAAGCATTTGATTTTTCTCTTAGCTCACTTGTGTTCTGTTCTCTTTCACTCATTTAATACTTTGAAAAGCAACTGCCAGCTGAAGGAGATGATTTTCATTACATTATTTCATTAGTGTCATTAGATAAATTCTGTCAAAAATAAGAGAATTAATACAGGTTAGATACTTGTAACTAGTTGCAATTTTCTGGAAGCCCCCAAAAAAGTTATATTTTTGCTCAGCAGCATGGAGTTTGGTTTGATAGGTGCAGGCTGTATGTGGACACTTCTCAACATAGGGTCAGGTTTCAGTCTCAACCATCCACAGCTGTGATTCCTTACTGGGAAATAGCAGGTCATTTTGTTTCACATTCTTTGGCTACTTTCTTTGGTTTAACTTGATGGTGCCATTAAATGTGAAATTATTTACCATGATATTCAAAGGGCAGGAACTTTATGCCTGGTACAGTTCTAAATGGCCAATACAGTGGTAAATGCTTTCTAGTAAATTAGAAAGATCTGTTTGAAAAGGTGATATTCTACCTACATGGAAGAGTTGTGCTTCAGGGTACTGAAAGGGATGTGTTCAGAATGCTGTTGAACAAAGGCATTGAGAGGGGTTTGGGTAGGAAAATGTTTAAGTCAGCAGTTCAGAGTAGCCAGGAGAAGGAAAAAAGGCAAAAGCAAAGATACCCTAACTGTGAGAGCCTTTTAGAAAAAGAATTGAAGTTTAGTTGTCCAAACAGCTCACAGAAATGTGAAAAACATACAGACCAGGTATACAAATAATTCTGAAGCTTGCTTGAGATGTAAATTTAAATGGGTTTTGACATTGCTTTTCCACTGGAAATTCATTCTAATAAATAGTTGACTGCCCTGAATATTTTTTAATTCCTTAAATGTGGGGGGAGAAAAAAATCTGAATTTCTACTGAGCTGAAACCAAGACTTTGTCTCAGCTCTGTTCTGTAGTGACAGCAGTTTTAGCTGCTGACCTGCCAGAACACAGAGGGTGATACCTAAAGTAAGATTCTGGACATGGGGATTCAAGGCTTGGTTCCTACTTTGTTTCAGTGGATCTCTCCTTTGCCTCAGATTGCTGTGTTTAAAAGTACAAATAATGTCCCTAGTCAGTGATACTGTGAGTTTTAAAACCCATAAATAGTTACAGCTAGTTTAAATAGTTGCCCACGGAAGTTCCTTCTTCCTTCCTTGCGTTAAATAATGCAGTCTAGCAATGCAAAGTTTGATTTAGTTAATTTGGCTAAAATAAGCAGTAATTTTAGTAATTTTTTTAAGTGACCTACAGATTCACATCATTCAAAATGCTTGACACCAAGGCACTTACAGCGAGTTCCAGAAAGCAGTTCCCAGTGTCTCCAAGTAAGCACTGTTCTGCTTTGCAAATGCTGCTGCTTTTTGGTACTACAAGCATGAAAAGTAAAAAATTTATATGTTCTGTGTGTTTTAGGGAGTGAGCTAAGCTATCCAGATCCATGCAGATGTACAGTACTGAGGGCCCCTTCATGCTCATGAAACTGAGAGAAATGTGTAATTGTCAAAAAACCCTATCAGAAACAGGCAAATACTTGCACCCAAACCCTTGCATGCAGAGCAAAGTAATAAGGCTTTATTTAACACCTGGCTGCCCAGTAATTCAGTGACTTGCATAAATTCTGTGTCCTTGGCTGTCACTATTGCATTTTTAGCGTTTAACATAGACCGTGGAAGAAAATACCATTTAATCCCCAGGCTCTGGGTTTGTGTGCTTGTTTAATCTGAGAAATGAAGGCTGGTTAAAGATAAAATTATCAGATTGTTACCTTCAAGTGTTTAGAAGACATGAATCAATCCTTCTAACTGTATCAGACCCTTTGGGGTGGGGGGAGGGGAGGTACAGGGATTTCCTTCCCAGTGTCAGTGTTTAGCATTCCTTAATGTTCTCGGGCTCCATCTGTAACGATGATCCTAGGAATGGTTTTGGTTCATAATTGTTGTAGTCTTAAAGCATTAGCTAAAAAATCACTAGAAAACTTATTTCTTGCTGTGAGATATGGATTAGGAGAAGGGCAAAACAGGCTTAAAACTTAAAAGGAATAAAGAAAGTTTATTAACAAAACTACAAGGATAAGAAAGCAGAATAAAACCTCCAGAAACCCTTCTTCCCCACCACCCAACCACTCCCTTGTTTAACAACATAGAGACAAAAAAACCTGGTGGTTAAAACAGTCACAGCTTTGCTATAGTCTTTTCACCAGTCTTTGTAGAGAAAAAGAAGTTCTCTTTTGTCAGTCTATGGAGTTCTTTACAAGAAAACCATTTTCTCATGCCTTTCTGTTTTTCTGATGCCAGCCGCCCAGAAAACTCTGCCATCAGTCCTTTCCTCCCATTTCACACCACTCTGAGGTGTGCTCGTGGGCCGTAACTCAAGGGGTGTCATTTTAATGATGAGTTATTCAAAGGCAAAAGTTCTTTTCATCTGTCTCTGATCATCTCTGGAAGCAGAAGTTTCCTCTTTGTCTCTTAAGGGCCACAAATTTTCAACAACTCTCACTTCTCTGTTTCTGTTCCAGCATACATAAGATCACAACCACTTCACCATTTGCTTAGATCCACACTTTGAAATACTCCATTCCTCCCAAAAGACTCTGTTGTGAATTAAAGGAGTTTTTTCAGAACACTATTGTCCATCTCCATAGCTTTAACAAAAGAATATTTCAGCTTATTAAGGCATCTCCTTATCTCTCTCCCCCATCTGAAGCTTAATTCCTTTCTTCACTGTCTTTGACAGTTTGTCTCTTTACCTGTTGATCACTCTCTCTTGCCCTCTTCCTGGAAAAAGGATTAAATCTGCAAGTCTCATCTGGATAGTAAAAGGGTTAGAATCTGGCTCAAGCCATGGGTGTTCATGGTGCCGGGTTTCAGCTCAGTGGTGCACAGAGTCCCCCTACCTCCCTCCCCCTCCCCACTCAGGAAAAGGCTTCAGCTGCCCCGGAGGCTTCCCAGGAAGCTGCAGCAGAGCCCAGCCCGGGCCCATCTCCTGCCCAGGGACCACGGCAGGCCCAGCCCAACCCCTGAGCCAACCCCAATGGCCTGAGGAGGGGATGGGAGCCAGCTGGAGTTCTGCTACCTTTCAAAGCTGGAAACCAAAGAGACAAATTCCCGGGCTTAGGTTTTAAGGTGGTGTTCACAGGTTGATCTCACTTTTCAATGGTCAAAACTACTGTCAAATCTGAGAAATGGCCAGTTATTGGCCAAGAGGAAAAACTCCCACCAGCCTCCAGCAGCCTTAACTTCCTTAGCTGTTTCCCTTTCTTAAATGCCAATCTATTGCAATAATGAAGTGGAAGTCATTGGTAATGACATGTTTCCAAGAGGTGGAACTTCTCTAAAGTTTCTGAGGGGTTTAGGAATTCTCTCATCCCACGATACAGCCAGGACCGCAAGGTAGAAAAAATACTACCCCTTCCTTTCAGATCCTGACTGTTTAGGTATTCTGTTCTCTCTGCTTAAATACAAGTGCCAGCAAGGCTGTCACAAACAGCAAATATAAGGCCATGGTCATTTTTAGTGGCTCAGTGTTGTGTCTCCATGTGTAAAGGTGCCATACAGAAGAATAGAAGGTACAGGCAAGCTAGATCTCTGCCTCTGAGGATTATGTTAAAATGCAGTATCTTATTACCTTGTCATGGCCACCTAACCCTGTGGGCTGGAGCTTTGACCAATAATTTATGTGCTGGAGTGTGTTAGTGTTCTTCTCATGTTTCAGTTCCGTAATCTAAAACCTGTTAAATTATTGCTTCTCAATGTTTTCTATTGTATTTCTCAGGCAGAATGTGCATTTGGCAGTTCATGCTGAGAACTTCAAATCAGAAATTGTCAGTGTGAAGGAGATGCGGGATATCTGGTCATGGATCCCAGAGCGATTTGCACTGTGCCAGCCCCTCCTGCTCTTTACCACCTTGGAACATGGCTGTAGTCTGAGCAGGTAAGGAAAATCTTCCTCTCTCTTCTCTACCATAGGGCAGAAAGGAGCAACTGGTGAAGTGTTTGCTGGATTGACAAAAAGGTTGTGCTTAGTCAGAACTTGATCTGAAGAATATCATTAATGATGGAATATAAATCTGACAAGTTCCTATTGCCTACAGCATTTGACTGGAATATTTCCTATGCCAGAATATTTTAAACTGTTCAAGATCAATTGGATAAGTCAGATCAGTTCACAGATTCTGCAGGTCTGAGTCTGGTTCCTTAAGTGTTTGAATGGTTTGACTCAGTTGCTGCTCTGCAGGCAGTTTTGATAGATAGCCACATTCAATCTGATTCAAGGAATTAGAGAACTAGAAACTGGAAATTACCTATGAATGTGATTGTTTTTTTTTAAAGTGAGATAAACTAGATATGAGTTGTTGCACTGTAAGAAGACTATAACCCTATAGCTCCTAATAATGACTTCACCATCAGCAGTTGAGGTACTGAGGCAGGGAATGACCTGCTCTCCCAGCCTTATGTGCCTATGAGGAAGAGCAAAAGCAAGCAAAGAGAATGCATCACAGTTCATTTCCATGAAGACCTAAAGCCCTTCAGACATGGCCATCAGTCCTCTAGGTTGTTTCAATTCAAAATGCTATAAAATGCTGCAGTTGATCTAAGTAAGCTTCTAGTTATTCTTCAGAGACATAAACTTTACAGGGGACTGAGTAGAGAACAACTGCTTCATAGTATTCATTTACACTCAGCTGTATTATTTACATGGACTGTATAAAGTATTTGCAGGAATATTCTTAGTCTTCAGGTGTTTTTTTGCCATGGTGTTGGTTGGAGAAGGAGGCAGTGCCTGACATTGTGGAGGAAAGGAGCTGCAGCTGGTGGCAGTCAAGTGCTCACTTTGTTGTGCTCTGCACTTCAGGTTCTATTCCCACAGCGAGGGACATGAACCAACTCTGCTTCTCATCAAGACAACAACAAAAGAAGTGAGTGAGGCGAAAGATAAGTGATTAAATTGGGGTTTGGGCAGTGTGTAATGCTGTGTTGCAACACATAGCTGTTTACAATAAAATGAATAAGCAAGGTTTGGTTTTGGTTTTTTAAGAATCCGTGCTTTAAATTATTCTATTTGTTGGTTATAGGACTATGCCTTCTTGGGCAGACTTTGCAACACAGGTCTTGGTTAACTGCTTTTTCTCTTGCAATTAGTGTGGGGTGATGGATTAAAGTAGTTCATTCTGGTCTTTGACAAACTCTGAAATGCAGAATCAGAGGGACAGAGTGGGAATCGTGCTAAAGTTATGATTCATAGAAGATATTTTCGTTTTCTCAAGGATGTGAAGAGAGAAAGTAAAATTTAAAAGCAGAATTTAAATGGTATGAGTAATGTTGGACTACATGACATGAAAACAAAAGCCTTAGCTTCATCTCATTCTTGATTGGAGAAAAAAATAAGCCAAGGAAGCTTTGAAAACCTGAGGAGGAGTGCACACAGGTCCCTTATTTCTGCTCCTGTGTGTGACAGTATTGGACAGCGTAATGTGAAAGCAACGACATGCTTGTTCAAAAAATTAATACATAAAACAAGAAATCTTTCTAGAACCTTCTCAGGAGGGCACACAGGAGCAGAAATGTGGCACACAGCAGTCTGTGGACTTTATTCCTGCCTATATCTCTGCAGGATGAGTGTCCATGAACAAGCCCATTTCTACTCTTACTTACATCTACCTAATGTTCACCCTCCAGGCCTTTTTGTAGTTCTGTGTGTGGTTTCTGGCCATTCAGGCCTGTTTTGAAATGCCAGTGGCTTATGGAATGCCCTGGTATCTAAAGGGTAGAGGGGGGAACAATTATTTTGCTTCTTGTCTTGCAGCCTGTCAAAAGTCTGTCTTTGTAAGGGATTCTGTTTTTTTTAAGATGTTTGTTTGTTTCTTACCCCTCAAAAAAAACATGTATTAGCAAAAAAAAAAAAAAAAAAGTAGGACAAAGATATGGGGGGTTTGTTTCGTGCTTATGGATTTGGACAATTTCTGGAAAGGATTGTTCATCCTTTCTTCATATGTCTATAGGTAACTTTTAGAATGAAGAAAATTTGCCTTCTGATTTTCAGCCTCTCATACCCATCAGGCATATCACATCAAATGGACTTCTAGGTCATTTAGATTTAAATCTAAATACAGATTTATCTATATAAAGCAAATCTGATCTTCAGTAATTTTGTTCTAGGAGCTCTCCTTGTAATGCTCATGGAGGCCAAACAGCAAATGTACCTTAGAACAATTCTGTATAATTGTAATTGTTTTTCTAGTTTCTGGGGGAAAAAAGCACAGATACTTTCATCCCACTCTTGGAGCTTCATTGTTTCCTCTGTGTGCACTTCGCAGGGATGTGTAATCCTGGTATCAAAAATTCTAGTACAAGCACAGGAGTCCAGAGACCAGCTCAGCCCTCAAAGGATGCTTCTCTTCATTGGAGACTAGTGGCTAGTAGGTCAACTAGTAGTAGACCTCGTGTGGTTTGAGTGGCTGCTCTAAATATCTGAGCTAGTTCAGCATTTGCTTAGCTAAGCTGGCTTTAACCTACACTTTTAAACGTAAGAAAGCCACCAAGGCCATTGTTTGACCAAAAAGTGTTCAGGCAGAGCTGCTCATACTGTAACTTGGGACAGCACTGCTGCTTTGGTTGCCAAAGTGAGACAGTGGGAGTCGGGCTGTACAGGCATGGAGTGATCTATGCTTTGGTACCTGGGGTTGTATTAGAAAAATTCTCCCTTAAGGCATCAGAGGTATGAAATAATTTATGACATTCTTATGATTTAGAGGTAACCACTGGTGGATTAAAGTAGTTTAAATCTATAAGTATTTGTGCTGCTTTAATCCACTGGTGTAGAGACTCTGAAACTCAAACTAAGGTAAAGCCTGCAGTTTTGGCCTCTGAAATATCAGTATCAGGGGGTTTAACACACTTTCTCCTTCAATGGGAAGCCTTACTGTGCTGTCTGTGCCAGGTCTGTGGGGCTTACCTGTCCAGTGACTGGAGTGAGCGCCGGCGAGGAGGAAACAAGCTCAGTTTCTTTGGAACTGGGGAGTGCTTTGTGTTTAGGGTGAGTAAAATTTTGTTGTTGCTACCCAGTACCAAGACAGAACAACTGTACTGGTTAACAACCACCACCTTTCCACTTAAAGAGGTTGGATTACATGCCTGTCTAATTTATAAAGTTTATTGAGCTCTCAGTGTGGAGGAAAAATTTTACTTTTAAGTTTTGTGGTGGCTCTTTTTCTCCCCTTGTGCAGAACATTTTCTTAGAAGATCATAGAATCATCAAGGTGAAAAAGACCTTTAGGATTATGAAGTCAAATCACCAACCCAGAACCATCATGTTCACTAGCAAACTATGTCCCCAAGTGCCACATCCACACATTTTTTGAACACTTCTAAGGATGGTGTCATGGTTTAACATTGGCCAAATGCCAGGCACCTACAAAAGCTGCTCACTCACCCTTTCCTGTTATAGCTGGCCAGAGGAGAGGAAGTTTAACAAAGGATTCATGAGTTAAGGACTGAGAAAAAACACTCCAATGGCAAAACAGGCTCAACTTAGAGATGAGAGAGTGAATTTATTGCTAACAAGATCAGAGCCGGAAAATGAGAAGTAAAATAAGTCCTTAAAACCACCTTCTTCCCCCAACCCCTCCCTCCTTCCCACCAACAGTGCAGGGAGACAGGGGCTGGGGGATTTAGTCAGTTCATCACCAAGATTTTCTTCCAAAGCTCAGGAGGAGGAGACCTTCGTCTGTGGGGTCCCTCCCACAGGGACAGCTCTCTGTGAACTTCTCCAGCATGGTTCCAATCTCACAAGCAGCAGCTCCCTGTGACCTGCTGCAGTATGAGCCCCTCCCACAGGCAAACAGTCCTCCCCAAGCTGCTGCTTCATGGGTCACTTCCACAGGGTGCAGTCCTCCAAGGACAGGCTGCTCCAGCCTGGAAGCAGGGCTCCCTCTCTCCACAAGGTCTCCCATGGGCTCACAGCCTCCTCCAGGCACACACCTGCTCTGGCATGGACACCTCCCCCATGGACTGCGGGTGGATATCTGCATCCCCCGTGGGTCCCCACAGGCTGCAGGGGGACAACCTGCTTCACCATGGTCATCACCATGGCCTGCAGAGGAATCTCTGCTCCAGCATGTGGAACACCTCCTCCCCGTCCTTCATTATCATAGAGGCATTACCATAATCTCTGATTGGCCCAACCTTGACCAGCAGCATGTCCGTCTTCAGAGCCATCAGGGATTGGCTCTGTCGGACATGGTGGAAGATTTCAGCAGCTTCTCACAGAAGTCACCTATGTGGCCCCCCCATGACCAAGAACCAGGCTGTGCCAAACTGACACAGATGGTCGTTCTACCTCTTCCCTGGGCAGCCTGTTGCGTGACAACTGTGTCAGTGCAGAAATTTTCACAATATCCAAGCTAAACCTTCCCAGGCACAACTTGAGACTATTTCCTCTTGTCTATCTCTTGTAAACTGGGAGCAGAGCCTTACCCCAACTGGCTCTACCCTCCTTTTATGCAGTTGTAGAGAAAGATGATCTAGAGATGAGAGATGTAATAAGGTAACTCAGAAGTTATTGCATAATTCCTCAACCACCTAAAAAGCAAAGGAATAAAGGAAAATATCTGGCCTAAAAGAAAGGTTGATCTAAGCTTTGCTGCTGACTGTGCGGGTGGAGACTGAGGGGCTGGAATGTTCTTTTCTGAGCAGAGCTCTGTATGTACACTAACATCAGCTCTGCCCTTCTCTGCCTCTCTGCAGCTGCAGCCAGAAGTGGAACGCTATGAGTGGGTGATCATAAAACACCCAGAACTTGCCTCGACTGGATCAGAGACAGAAAACCATACCCAGCCAGCTTCCAGCACACTTTCCTCCAGCAGCATCCCCTCAGACCCCTCAGATCGCCTTTCTCCCTTCTTAGCAGCTAGGCACTTCAACTTGCCTTCCAAAACAGCCTCCATGTTCATGGCTGGCAGCAGCGAGTGCATCATTATAGGTGAGTCAGTGTGAGAATTCGAGCACAGATCCTACCCCAGCTCTTCCTGTCCACCTTAGATACGTAGTAAATACACCTGACCCCTTTATCTATTTCAGTATCACTACTGCAGGTAGAGATAAAATTGCCCAAAACCTGACATCATTTCCCAACCAAAATTTTCTGTGGGAAAACCTGCATACAAGCATTTTAGAGAAGAGAGTAGCTCATGGCTTTATCAACAGCCATTCCTTCATACTGCCTAATTCACGATGAGAAGTAGTTCTCAAAAAGGAGCTTACTTTGCATCAAGGCTTTTGAAACACAGTGTAAATTAGAAAACATGTTAATTCTCCAGGAACTTTATTGGACCTGTGGTGCTGCTGGCTTTGGCAAAAGTCTGCTTAGTTGTCGTGGTTTTAAACCAATAACTAAGAAAATTACTTATTTCTTGCTGTGAGATATGGATTAGAACAAGAGCAAAACAGGCATAAAACTTAAAAGGGAAAAAAAAAGAAAGTTTATTGACAAACTACAATAAGAACACCAGAATAAACTTCCAGAAAAACCTTTTCATCCCCTGTCTACCCACTATTCCCTTGTTCACATGACAAAAGAGACAAAACCTTTGGAACTTTGATGGTTAAAACAGTCCCAATTCTTGCTACAGTCTTTTCACCAGTCTTTATAGAGAAACAGAAGTTTCTTCCTGTTAATTTATGGAGTTTCTCACAAGAAAAACTATTTTTGTTATAGTTTTCCATTGCTCTAATGTTAGCTGCCCAGAGCTGCTGTTATTAGAGCCCACTCCTCCCATTTTTCACATCACTCTCAAGTGTGTATGGGCCATGAGTCTAGGGATGGGATTTTTAAGGATAAGTTATTCAAAGGCAAAAAGTCTTCTTCATCTGTTTCCGTGAGCTTCACCAGAAAACAGTTTTCTCATTGCCTCTCAAGGCTTCAAATCCTCCAGCACTTCACTGTGCCATAATTACTCTACTTTTTACTCAAAATTTACACTTTGAACACTCTATTCCTCCCTATATACTGTCATGAATTAAAGGAGTGTTTTCAAGACCTTATTGTCCATTTCCATAGTTTTAACAGAAAGATATTTCAGCTTAATTAAAGCATCTTCTTAATTCTCTACCTTTTCTTTTCTTTCCTGTCACTAGTAGTTTATAAAGTCTCTTTTCATGTTGATCACTCTCTTTTCTCTGTCTGGATAAAAAGATTAATCCGCAAGTCTCATCTGGGAAATGAAAGAGTTAAAATCTTGCCCAGGCTGTTGTAGGTAGTTCTGTGGCCTCGGCCGGTGCAGGAGCTGGAGCCGTCTGCGATGGAAAGTTCCTCATGGCTGCTCTGGAGAGTGTAGTCGCCGCGCCCAGCCCGCTGCAGGCCCAGAGCCCCTCTCCTTCTTCACTCAGCAGTCTCCAGTGAATCCAGCCACAGCAAAAAACCTGCAGCCGAGCCAGAGATCGGCTCGGCCCGGCCCGGCCGGAGCCCGGAGAAAACCCCCTCCACAGGGCCCGCATCCCCCGGCCGGGAGACGCTGGGCCCAGCCCAGTCCCCGCCCGGCCGCATGGCCTGGGCAGGGAACGGGAGGCCTGGGGCTCTGCCGCCCTTCCCAGCCAGGAAACAAAGAGAGCCAAGAGAGCTCTGGTTTTACACTTTAAGGTAGGGTTCACAAGTTGATCCCACTTTTCAATGGCCTAAACTGCTGTCAATTCTCAGCAATGACCGATAATTGGTCAGGAGAAAAGACGCCAGGCAGATCCCAGCAACTTAAACTTTCTTAAAGGCAAAGTAACTCCATGACATTAGTAAAGTTGTCACTTAAATGGGATTCGTAAGGAACATATCTAAAATCATAGTTGTCGTTGTCCCAAAAGTCTTTACTTGACACTTATTAGGAGAGCAACTGGCCTATAATTTCCTCTGTAATGTCAGGTGTTGGCTGATTTCCCACTTAGCAGCATGTGCTCTAATCATAAAATCATGGAATTGTTTAGGTTGGAAAAGCCCTCTAAGACCATCGAGTCCAACCATTACCACAGCACTGCCAAGGCCACCGCTAACACATCTCCCCAGGTGCCACATCTACATGGTTTTTGAACACTTCCAGGATAATGACTCCACTACTGCCCTGGGTAGCTTGTTCCAATGCCTGACCACCCTTTCAGTGCAGAAATTTTCCCAATATCCAACCTAAAGCTTCTCTGGTGGTTGAGGCATTTTCTTCTTGTCCTGTCACTTGTTCTCTGGGAGCAGAGCACCTGATCCCCACCAGGTTCCACCCTTCTTTTAGGGAGGTGTAGAGTGTGACGTCCCACCAGCTCTTCCTTTCAGCCTTAGGTAAGGGAGTTGTTTATATTTACCATATACTACACTATGGTTGGTAATAAGAGAGATACAGACTTGATAGTAGATACATAGAAGTGAATGTTATACACAGCTCCAGCTGTGGACCAGAACACCCTTTTGATTGTTCAGATGGCTTTAGTAACTGCTCTTCGATGGTTGCCCAGTAAGCAATTCCTTTTTGTCCTCCTAACACATTTCTGTCTAACTTTATTTCACTTCTCTGCATTTTCTGACTGAAATCTCTGTAAACCTTGACACAGACCCACAGATAACCAAAATGCTTTCAACTCTTAAATGTTTTATAGTGATTTAGAAGACCAAGCCAGTGCTGTTACTTACTGATCTTGTTCTTCTTCCAGCTTTGATTTTTGACTGCTAACAGAATTATTTGGTTTTCCTTTACTGGAGAAAAATTTGCAGTTGTAGCTTCCAGTATCCTCCAGCACTGAAATACAAATCTTAAATACAGATAGTTTTTGTTCTTACTGAGTTGCATTACTTTTATTTATTGTTACTAAAAGAAATCATCCAGTTCTGATATTATCCTTCAAAGCCTATACATCTGATCATATACTGTTACACCTGAAGACAGCAAGCAGATGTTGCTGAGGGCTACAAGTTGTTCCCCATGGGAAGAGCACTAAAGTCTTTGTACATCTGTTTCCCATGCCAAGAAATGCAGAGACATTCTCACCCTGTCTTTGTCTCTTCCCAGGAGGTGGTGATGGCCAGGCTCTGTACCTTGATGCAGATCTGAACCATGGGAGAACCAGCCACTGCAACACTTTCAATAACCAGCCACTGTGCTCTGAAAGCTTCCAGATCTCCATCCTGGAGGTGTGGGGCTTCAGGGACACCATAAATGGTTGATGTGACTATCATTAATCAGCTAGTCTTTCAGTCGTCCAAAGTAAATTTTGATACAGGAGCTAAGTTAGAACATCCTTTCTTCTGGGCTCAGTGCTGTGAGTCATTCCTAAGTAGTGGACTTGGGTGCAGGCCTAGTTGTTTACTTTTACTTTATTTCAGACAGGTCAAGGTGAAGTAATGTATCTGGTTAATTGCTTGTCCCTTTACTTCTAGAGATTTGTTTTCAAGGGACTGTTAGTAAAAATGAAAATGTGATGAGTTCAGAGCCATGCTAGGTGGATACAGGTCTAAATCATGGGATAGGTTTGAGGCAACAGTTCCTTGGAGACACAAACCTGGCTGAGCTGTGCTGCAGAGCTCTGAGCCACTGGCACCAGTACCTGGCCTGAGCCAGGAATATCAGATGTCTCCTCACAGGGAACACTGGTGACTTCACATTTGACATAGGACAGTAGTTCATAAAATCACATCCCTCCTATGAGTAGACGTTGTGCAGACAAATCAGTACCATTAAGTTATGAAGCTCTTCATTCCCACCAGAACCATGATTTCTGATCTTGTACCAAAACCTTTGACATGTTCCAGTTGCATATTTAAGCAGTCTGCCTCTGAGAAAGGCATCCAGGCTGGTCGGTGATATCTCCAAGTCTTGATTTTGTTTACATTCCTATTCCATATCAGTGTGATGACTTCAGAGCAACTCCCTGTGTCAGGCAGCTGAAGGCCAGAGAGTATCTGCAGTGCTCAGAAATGTTTCTTTCCTCATCTTTCCTGGGAGCTGAAATTAAGCTTTAAATCTGAAAATAACTGTGCTGATATCCCTATGTGTTTGGGGAACTAGACATGGTGATAACGGGAACTTAATCCTCTCCACAAGTAAAGAGAGGAAGGCAAAGAGGCAAATCTGGGAGGGAATGAGTTTCCCAGGAGAACTGGAGGCAACACTGTTTCTCAAGATATCTTCCCAGTGATGAGATCCCTCCAGAGAAGGTAACAGTTTTCTTCCTGTGTTTTCTGGTACAGTTTGGGTGATGCAAGGAGGCTTTGCTCGTTCTTGAGCATTCCTACATTCTCTGCAGGCATGCCCTGTGGCATTTGTATTGTGGAACTTCTCCCACATGAAGCACAAATACATAAACATTAGTGAGTAGTCCAGAGCATACAACAGGATGCTCAGAGCTTCAGTGAGTAACCCACTAGTAAGATTTATCACAACAGGGAAAATGAAGGGAAAGAGAAATTGCTGATTTTCTTAAAAGTTCAATCTAAAAAATGGCTGTAGAGTGGGATTGCTACTTAATGTTATTAATGTTATACTTAAGTAGTTAAGCTTTAAGTTCATTAAAAGGAAAAATTTAAATGAATAATGTTAAAAGCTAGACTAGACAGGGTCACATTCATATTCCAGGATCAGAGGTGAGTTTTTGGTCATGTTGGCTTGTCCAGCTGGCCAGCCATGACAGTACCTCATGGCTGGGTAGAGTTGCCTCTTGCAGAGTATGTGAATAAACTTAGCAAAAATAAGATTTGCTTTTTAAGGTGCCACTTTGAATTTTTGTCAAAATAACTCTTTGAAAAATTAGCCTATGTGCAGAACAGTTTAAAATGTCTTATGCACCATTTGTATTTGTAATTGGATTCTCTAGCCCTGTGAGTCAGCATTGGGCCTCCCTTTCTCCTTCCCACACAGTGAGTTTGCCCAGTCTTTTCCCAGGTTTTCCATAAGGTTGATTGAACTGCAAGAGGCAATTCTGTCAAACTGATATATTTTGATGTGAAAGAACTCTGTCATATCTGGCTTTCTGCAAACACTGGCTGATGCTGCCTTCTATTTTTCCAAGCCACCCATGTCACTTTGCCCTTGCAGGTATCCCACAAGGTTCCTCAGACAAGTCACTCAAAAAGTATAGGTTCTCCTTAGTGTATGTGGGATTTCTATTTGGTTTGCATCTCCTCTTTTGAGCTTGTCTGAGGAGGTGCCCTTGGGAACAAAAAACAACTCAAAAACACAACAGAATTAATTTCCAGCTTGTTGTCAGAAATTCCCTGGATCTGTGTTGGTAGGATTTGTTGGAGTGTAATGTTCTACTCCAAATGAATAAATTTTATCTGCAAAAACTTGGCTGCATCTGGCAGTGTGATGGGATTTCCTCGCTCCCATCCCTGCCAGGTGCAACTATGTCAATACCTTGTCTTAAGCCTTATCTAAGAAACGTTCCTCAGAAACATGTTCTTTTCCCTGTTCTGTTCTTGGTGCACAGTGATTTGGGTGTTTGGAATCTGAAATAATTCCTGGTTGCTCAGAAACTCCTCATAGGATATCAGTGTGAGAATCCAGGGAGCAGTACTGGACACAAGGCGCGGAACTGGTTTGGCTTGATAAAGCACTGCCCTGCCACAGCCACCCTGTGGGACTGGTCTGTGTGGTTTGAACTGGAATAGCCTGGATGAGCAAGAAGCTGCAATAATCCAGGGAGTGCAGTTCTACAGTGCTGCAGCAACTTCACACAATCCTTGTGTTCAGTAAAAACGGATATTCCTTGTCATGTGCAAATCCTCATCCATCATGCCTGTTGCGGTTGTGAGACACCTTAGAAGAACAGTGTTTTCATCTTTCCAGTAGCAAAGAGGTATTTTCCCTATGTGTGTAGTTAATGGTTGTTGCTGACCAACTATCAAAGTTCAAATCCTTTGTATTATGCAAAGCTCTTGAGATGGAGGCCACAGACTGGTTTTGAAGACAATGACTCCAGTGGACACCTTATCAGAAAGTGGAGTTATCTCAAGTACTCCAGCCATGAAGTGCTTTAGTCAGTTGTTACTTGCAGCCTGAACAACTCTTGAAGGCTGTAATCCCTGTTTGTGGTCCTGCTGGCAGCAGTAATAGTGCCAGTCACAGGATGGGCTTGGGCTGAGAGCTGCAGGCTGGGCGTTTGTCACCACAGTTCTGCGAGAGTGTCTGTGCTCTCCTGAGAAGCTGCTTTTTGCTTTGTCGTATTCCTTGAAGGCAGAGAAGATTAGAAACTCCTTACACCAGAAACCTGACTTCACTGTAAATGGCAACCAAGCTGTTTTCAGGCCACGGGAATTGTATCCAGCTGCAGCAAGACTGGACAGATTTCACTGCACCTGAGCTGTCTTTGCTGCAGCTCCTGCACTTTGGCATGCTCCTTTTTCTGACGCAACATGTTAATCAACCTCCTGTTAATAGAGGCAAATTAGCAAAGGGAAGGGGAAGATTCTCATTTCCTCTCTGGTGACATATCTGAAGTCAGAATGGAGTGGGGGCCAGTACTATTCTCTGAAGAGTTAAACCATGCCAATAGAGATCTGTGGTGACCCACAGAGGGGTGACATGTGCAGATGCATCAACAGCTCTTCATATGTGTGTATTGAAATTGTGTACTTTGTCCTTGGAAATTCACCCTCATTTTTGGTGGGGTGTGATCTCCTTTGCCCATGGGGACACCGATACCACAGCCAGGAGCTGACCCACAACCATGGCACAGCAAGAGCTCGGCTCAGCAAGTGACACTGAGTCAGGCTGTTGGGTATAGATGAGGCGTGGGCACCTGGCTGTTCTGCAGCTCTCTGTCATGAATTTTAGACTATTCATAGTCAGGTTGAGTGTGTGTATACTATTTGAGGGGATCATTTCTTCAGATGAGTGGTGGTGTGCTGCTGAATTGGTTTTCTGCCCTGTTTTGGAATTGCTGTCCTACATCAATGGTATTTTTGTCACTGTGCAGAATCTTGGATTATATTAAAGGTATTTGGCTGTGGAGGCTGCTGGCTTTGTCCTTTGTTCTGGTCTTTTCCTTCCTGTAGAGCTCATAGCAAAAGACACCCTGAAACTTAGAGAAACCCCTGGAGCTTGTGTTCTCTGACAGAACTCTCACTGCAATGAGGTGGTTACACAGTTCGTGGTTGTTTCAGACCTCACAAGACTTCCCCTGAGATCCGGTGGTCAAACTGACTGTGAAGTCTCTAGATAGCTAATTCTGACATGAGCCTTCTTCCTCTTTGCAGGGCCAGGGAGCATGGTTTGCCCTAGCCAAGCCTGGGTTTAATACAGAGGTTAAGGGTGTCTTCTGGCCACTAGCACCTGTAAGTTGCAGTCAGACCATGCAGTGACCAAGGATGTAAATGAAAAAAGTGGAATTGCACGAAATTTGACAGTTTAAACAAATTGCTGTCAGGCCAAAGGGATTTGGGTATTTCCCTTTAAAAAACTCCCACCCCTCTATATCCACCCCATACAAAAATCTGGCCTTCCCATGCTGCTATACATTTCCAAGAGCAGAGCTGTGGTTTAAGGCAATGCAGTGTGGAAAAGGGATTGCTGAGCTGGCAGAAACAATTCCCAAATGGTTGATTCTCTGGCCAGCCCTGCACTGCCAGGAGGTTTGCTGCATAGGAAGCCCATGGCCGCTAGAGGTTCCTCTCAGCCTCGTCCTGTGCCTCCCTCCCCAGTAAATCCATCCTTGCAATCCAAAAGGGCTTTTTTTGCATGGTTTCTGAAGATGACCTGAGCCTTAAATACAATAAATCAGAATTTTACAACTCCCTTAAAGGCTGTAAACTTAATCATGAAGGTGCTTAGTAGCAGGAAGGTGTAAGTGAGGGTTCATGAGGAGCTGAGTAGTGCAGGCAGGTGTTTTGGGACCTTGCAGCTGCTGTAAACCCAGTGACTGAGACCTGAGAGGGGAACATGCTTGATTGCATCAGGCAGCAGAAGCTTGGTGCCCCACCTAGAAAGCGTGGTGGTGGGAAGGTCCTGGATGATGTCTCGGGGCTGGTAGCAGCTGCAGGAGCCTGAACTGGAAAAGGAAGGCTGTGCTGTGTCTTGCTGTGCTGCTGCACTGTGAGAAGAGCTTGCTGTTTGCCAGTTGTGCTTTTTTTTTCTGGATTTTTGGTACAGGCTTTTGTGTAAATGTCTCAGAGACACCTGCTTCTTTGAGAGATATTTTATAACCAGCTGTGGCACAACATTGCTTCTGGCATCAAATTTAAAAGGGTTTCTGCCTTTTAAAGCCCCTCACTGGGTGCTTCCAACTCTGCCCTGCTACTGCCCTTCCCAAGCACTGCTTTGGGCTGCAGAGCCTGTGCCTGAGCCTCTGGGAGGGTCGTGGCTCCACTCCTTGGCTGTACTCTGATGACATAGGCTGCTGCTGACTGATTTCAGACCTCCTCTTAGGTGGAGCTGGGTACAGAACTCAGCTGGGGAAAAGTGAAGTATGTTTGTTCCTGCTTTGCAAACCTGCAGCTGGCTGCTGCTGGGCGCGGGTAGATAAGGCACCAGGACTGTTAGCACTGTCCTGAACCCAGGGATGCACCTCCCATTGCTGACACAGCTTCAGTCCGTGGCCTGCGTGAACTGCATTGAGTCACCTCCCTTTCCGTGGTTAAATGCCATTCAGAGTTATAGTTGTGCCCTCCATGAGTCATTGACTGAAAGGTTTCTGACTGGGCTTATCCTCCTGATCCCTTAGCCATGAGATGGAGGCAGATCTGGAATCCCATGGGGAAAAGCGCAAGCCCAGCAAGCCAGTGATCAGCACCTCATCCTCCCAGCCTGCATGATGCTGGATCTTCTGTCCCATAAATGACTGGGAGTACAGATTTTTGAACCGTGAGCATTCCAGAGCAGCACTGACATTGGCTGCACCAGCTCAGCAGCCTAGCTGGCTGCAGCCAGAACTCTTCCACTGGCAGTGGCTGGGGCACAGTCTGTTCCTCTTCCATAAACGTTCTCCTTGTGCTGAAATCCTTCTCCTTAAACTTCTTTGGGTTTATGTGAAGACCCACTTTTCCCCCTCTGTGCAGCTCTTGGCTCTGCTGCAGGGATCCAATCCCTCTCCTAGAAGTTTTTTTTCTATTTGCATCCTTACCTGCTGCAGGGGTCTTGAGTACGCTGTGCTTGGCACACTCAGCTTGATGATGCTCTGAATTCAAGGCCAAGAAAGGCCACAAGTCAAATGAGGTTGCCTGCTCACTGTGAATTCTGTAGAGCAGCAACTTGTCCAGTTTTCTTCAAGGGAGGTTTAGGGCTGAAACTCCACAAACTATCGCTGCTGAACTGGATCCAAGTGTACATCCAGACCAGTATCTTATAAATGGACTTCCTGCATGGTAAATCACACCTGCCTGAGGATAGCCCTGCCAGCTGCAGCAGCATGACAGTGGCCATGGGGCTGCTGCTGAGCTGTGGTGCCCTGCAGTCTGAATTCTGACAGACAGCTGGCACAAGAGGTCATCTTCATCAGTCCTTGGCACCCCCAGAGCTTTGCCACAAGCAGCTGTGTCTGTGTAGTGCAGCACTCTGCAGCCACCCCCTCCCCTCAGCTGGACAACAGGATAACCCTTGGGCACAGTTCAACAGTGGAACTGGGCTTCCTCACTGCTTCCACAGCCAAAATGCTGCAGGACTTCCCCATGGCCACAGTCAGATGAAGTTATTGGGGAAAGAGGCAGTAGTGTCTCAGAGATGTGAATTTCCCAAGGTTTGGCTGCCTGTTTCACAGAACCGGGCAGTGAACTCCAGCACTGCTTCCCACAGGGAAGGGCTGTGATGGGGCTGGAACCCTGCTGGGGAGCAGAATCTTGGTAACCCAGCCTTGAGACAAAGCCAGAGGCAAATGGATTTCAGCAATTCCACAGCTCACAGAAATACTTGTGGATGTCTGTAAGGATCTGTCTAACAAACAGTCATAATATCTCCCAAGTTCATTAGGCTTTTCTTGCACTTCAGAACACCAGCCACAGCTCCTGCAGGATACTATGCTCTTGTGGGGCAAAGTAATTCCCAGAGTCATGGCTTTCCTTTCAGCTCACCATGGGTTGTGCCCCAGGGTTGACTCCAGCTCGGAAACTGAACTCAGCAGACCAGCTGAGTTCAACTTAAGGACTGCAGAGCCATAACTCACAGAATTCCTGAGGGTATGGGTCTCCTCGGGATGGCTTTCTTCCCTAATGAGCAATAACAGACTCATGAACAGATTTTTGAAATTGCAGAAGTGGAAACCACAGGAGGAATAACTGACTCACTGAGGAAATCTTATTAATGTGTTCAACAAAGTCTTCGGGTGGAGGCAGGGGCAAGTTAGGGCTTTCCAAGGAAGTGTGGGAACACCTCTCCGGACCAGCTGCCTGCCTTGTGCTCAGCCCTCTGACAGTGTTGGAGACACCTCCAGCTCAAAGCAGTCTCTTGGGGAGCATTTCTAGCCCATATTTAGGAGGGAAATGCTACTCCTCTGATTGGTGGGAGAAGATGTTTGCTCTAGCCTATTCCCTGGGTCAGAGCAACCTGCAGCTGGGTCAGATCCAGTCCCAATTCCTGGGCTGTCCTGAGAGCTGTTTGCAAAGAAGAGGGTTCAGGGTTGCCCAAAGGAAGTGGAAGAAAAAAAGTGTGCTGTAAACCAATACAAACATACCAGGCAGAAGGTTTTGGCATGATTTGCTCATGACCTTTGCCATGGTCTGTCCCTCAGGTGGCCAGAGCCTGCTTGCTGGGACTGGATATGTGTTTCCTTATACACACAGCAAGGGTACACTCCAGTCAGCTCCCACCCTGCCTTTATGCTGGTTTTCTTGGGCAGGGGATTGTTTTTAAGGGTTTAATATTTAATCTGTGCTCTACTGAAGAGGAGAACTTGTAGAGGTCACAAGAGCCTGGGAGATGGCTGCTCAAGGTCCTCATCCTTCCCAGGCTCTGTGCCTCCAGCCTGGGAGGTTTTCAGAAGGGCAGGGATGTGAAATCTAGGGATGTGAATCCATGTGAAAAGCCACTTGCCAGGGATGATGAAAGGCACATGATGAATGTACCCCTCCAGGCAGAAGAGCTGCACTGCAAGCACAGGGAAGAGGGAAGACAGGGAAATTTTGAATTTCTGGCAGTTTTCTGCAGAAACACACTGCACTGAGCAGGAGCAATCATGTCCAACAGTGAGCCCTTGTGGTCCCAGGCACTGCCACAGCAGTGCTGATCCCCCTGGTCACACCAAGGCTGTAGGACCAGCTCTGTTCCTGCTTATGCATGGGATCAGGGTCTCCCTTCTCCCAAGGCTGCAGAAATGGGGATTATCCAACAGGTCGCACCTGGTGCCTAGAGCCACCACTGTCCCCTATGGAGCAGTCCTGCCCTGGCCCCAAACAACCCTGGTGTTCTCCAAAGGACCTTGTCCTGAACCCATCCTCCCTGCTGCTGGTCCCTCACCATCACCAAAACAACCACGGATGGATCTGTCCTGAATGCCCTTGTGGGCCAAAAATCCCTATAACCTAATCCCAAGTGTCTCCTGCTGCCCTTCCTGCAGGCTGTGCCATCCCCAGGGCTGCATGGTGAGATCCACCTCCCACCCAGCAGCCCCAGCTGGGAGCTCTGAGCCTGCAGATCCCAGTGAGATGCAGAGATCTCAATCCAGGGGCTGCTGCAGCACTTGGGAGTTTTTCTGCAAGCATGGAAATGGGGAGGGAGGGCTGGACCACGAGGATGGAGCCCAGGGAACAAGCAGTAGCCGGGTGAGCCAGTGCCTCAGCAGATATTACTAATACACATGTACAGGCATTCTGTAATAACGAGCTATTCCTGAGCTCAGCTTCCCTGTGTGATCCTGACTGTGTCAGCTGATGGGGAAAAAATCCTCTGTGTGGAAGAAATGGCTGTTCCTTGGAAAGGCATGGGACTGTGCAGGCCATCTCTCGCCTCTGGGCTCAGCCAGCCTGGAGCCAGCTGTGTGTGAGGGATGGATGAGGACAGAGCCTTGTGTATCTGGGAGGGAAG